GTAATGGTAATGGTAATGGTAATGGTAATGGCAATGGCAGTGGTAATGGTAATGGTAATGGGAATGGGAATGGGAGTGGGAATGGGAACGGGAACGGGAATGGAAATGATAGTGGTAGTGGTAATGGTAATGGCACTGGTAATGGTAATGGTAATGGTTATGGAAATTATAATAGTATTGGGAATGGGAATGAGAATGGGAATTATAATTGTAATGGCAGCGGTAGTATCATGGTAATGGGAATGGGAGTGGAAATGGTACTGGCAATGGTAATGGTAGTGACGAATGGCAATGGCAATGGCGATGGTAATGGTAATGGTAATGACAGAAATAATGGTAATGGTACTGGTAATGGTAACGGTAGTGGTAATGGTAAGGGGTAGCGATTGGCAATGGCAATGACAATGGCAACGGTAATGGTAATGACAATGGCAATGAGATTGGCAATGGCAATGACAATGATAATGGCCATGGCAATGGCAACGGCAATGGTACGTGTAATGATAATGGCAATGGTAATGGGAATGGGAACGGGAATGGGAATGTGAATGGGAATAGGAACGGGAACGGGAATGGAAATGGTAGTGGTAACGGAAATGGGAATGATAAGGGTAAGGGTAAAGGTAAGGGTAGAGGTAAAGGTAATGGTAATGGAAATGATAGTGATAATGGTAATGGTAATGGTAATGATAATGGTCATGAGAATGGGAATGGCAATGAAAATGGTACTGGCAATGGTGATGGTAGTGGCTAATGGCAATGGCAATAACAATGCGAATGGTAATGGTAATGACAGAGGTAACGGTAATGGTACTGGTAATGGTAACGGTAATGATAGTGGTAACGGGGTGGCGACTGGCAATGGCAATGACAATGACAACGGCAACGGTAATGGCAATGGCAATGGCAATGGCAATGGCAATGGGAATGGCAATGGCAATGGTAATGGCCATGGCAATGGCAATGGCAATGGTAATGGTAATGGCAATGGTAATGTGAATGGGAATGGGAACGGGAATGGGAATGTGAATGGGAATGGGAATGGGAACGGGCATGGAAATGGCAGTGGTAGTGGTAACGGAAATGGGAATGGTAAGGGTAAGGGTAAATGTAAAGGTAGAGGTAAAGGTAATGGTAATGGTAATGGCAATGGCAGTTGTAATGGTAATGTTAATGGTAATGGTATTGGGAATGGGAATGTGAATCGGAATTGTAATGGTACTGGCAACGGTAATGGTAGTGGCGAAGGGCAATGGCAATGGCAATGGTAATGGTAATGGCAGTGGCGAATGGCAATGGTAATGGTAGTGGCGAATGGCAATGGCAATGGCAATGGTAATGGTAATGGCAATGACAATGGTAATGGTAATGGTACTGGGAATGGTAATGGTGACGATAACGGTAATGGTAATGGTTATGGCAATGGTAACGGGGTAAGCGATTGGCAATGGTAATGGGAATGGCAACGGCAACGGCAATGGCAATAGCAATGGCCATGGCAATGGTAATGGTCATGGTCATGGTAATGGTAATGGTAATGGTAATGGCAATGGTAATGGGAATGGGAATGGGAATGGGAATTGGAATCGTAGTGGTAATTGGAACGGGAACGGGAATGGAAATGGTAGTGGTAGTGGGAAAGGTAATGGCAATGGTAATGGAAATGGTACTGGTAACGGTAATGGTAATGGCAATGATGATGGGAATGGGAATTGTAATGGTGATGGCAGCGGTAATGGTAATGGTAATGGCAATTGTGTTGGTAATGCAAATGATACTGGCAATGGTAATGGTGGTGGCGAATGGTAATGCTAATGGGAATGGTAATGGTAATGGTAATGGTAACGGTAATGGTAACGGGGTGGCGACTGGCAGTTGCAATACCATGACAATGGCAACGGCACTGGCCATGGCAATGGCAATGATAATGGCAATTGTAGTGGCAATGGTAATGGCACTGGCAATGGCACTGGCAATGGTAATAGTAATGGTAATGGTACAGGTAAAGGTAAATATAAAGGTAAAGGTAATGGTAATGGTAACGGTAATGTGAATGGGAATGGGAATTGGGATGGGAATGGTAATGGTAATGGTATTGGGAATGGGAATGGAATGGGAATGGGAGTAGGAGAGAGTGAGAGAGAGAGAGAAAGAGAAAACGAGAAAGGAAACATCAGCATAATGATCAGGAACAAAGTGGAATATCGTAAATTTTCGTCTAAAACCCACAGCGACTCCACAATCCCCCGGCCTCACCTCCTCCTCCTCCTCCTCCCCCTCCTCCTCCTCCTCCTCCTCCTCCCTCCTCCTCCTCCTGCTCCTCCTCCGCCCCCTTCTCGTCCCTCTCACGCCTCCTGCGCCGGCCTCCTTCATCTCCACCTCAACCTCCGCCTCCACCTCCTCCTCCTCCTCCTCCCCTCCTCCTCCTCCTCTTCCTCCCTCCTCCTCCTCCTCCTCCTCCTCCCCTCCTCCTCCTCCTCCTCCTCCTCCTCCTCCTCCTCCTCCTCCTCCTCCTCCTCCTCCTCCTCCTCCTGCATCTCCTGTCGGCATCCTCCTCCCCATATCTCCACCTCCTCCTCCTCCTCCTCCTCCTTCTCCTCCTCCTCCTCTTCCTGCTCGTCCTATGGGGAGCAAAGAACAGGCCAGAAGGTCGTGAAGCCTTTATTTTTGGTGGGGGGGAGCCTCGGACCACGTCGGCAGCGCCCCTTGCCCTTGGCCCGAAGGCAGCACACCGTGGGGAGGCAAGACCAGAACGAGCAGGAGAGGACGGAGGCAGAGAGTTGGCGGCGAGCTTTTTTCGGGCGTTCTCGGTTTCTTGGCGGTTTTCCGGCCTCGGGATGCGTTCCAGCGGCTGCGCCTTGCCGCGAGCGTTCCGGGGGTGCCCGGATCGTCCCGAACGGCCGCCTGAGACCCGAGCTATGACCCCAAAACCAAATGCGGTGGCGCGCCTGGGGGGGAAGTGAGAGGGAGAAAGCCTTCTCAGAAGGGGCGGCGTGACTTCTCAAAGCCCTCGCGCCTTCTGAGAAGCTTACTGTGTCTTCGGGGAAGACTTGGAAAACTTCTCCGAAGGCCGGGGGACTTCTGAGCCTGCTGAGAAGGCCTGGCCATTCTCACTTCCCCCCCTCGCTCGCCACCGAGAGAAGGAAGAGGAACATGACCAGGAGCTGGACACACATACGACTGGAATCGCATGGAGACATTCGCCAAGGCGGCCCCAAAGGCGCACATGAATGCCCCCAAAGCATCCCACGAGGGCGCCAAGAGGCAATGGTTCGGGGTTCCGACAGGGCAACGCCTCCTTTTTTCAACGATGACCTCCGAGATGGCCCCAAGAGGGCTCGCAAGGTCCCCCAAAGGGTCCCAAAAGAGCGCCACGATAACCCCGAAGGCCACAAGCAAGACCCTAATAAGGCCCCAAGATGGCTCCAATGCGACTCCAAGAGGCTCCCAGAGCAAAGGCTCAACGAAGGCTTTTACGCCTGACTTCTGGATGCATGCTGCTTCACTCCCCTGCTCAGTACAACTCGCCTGGGGATCGTTTCTGGGTTGGCTGGTGGGGATATGCGAAGCGTCACGCCTGAATATGAACATGAACACATCGGGCACCGTGACATTGAAACAGTTGTGACACTAAAAACCTGAACTGGTTCTGAAATAGTGCCAACACGAATGTGCAATGCGCCTAGAGTCTTGTATGAATCGGCCGTGCACCACACGTGCCCTACTGGCGAATGCAATGTGAACCAATTGCGTGTGGTGTCGTGGTGCCCATAGTAACAGATCGTGGATCCGTGTTTACGCAGTTTTTGATTCCCCAATCAGAGCTTGCCTCTGTATGGGGACCTAGCGGATTCATATGGTTAGGTTAGGTTTGTCGCCGATTTTCGCTGCACGCCGCGGTGCCCGGGTGCCCGGGGGTGCCCGGGGCCCGGGTGCCTGGGGGGGGGCCCGGGGGTGCCCGGGTGCCCGGGTGCCCGGGCGTGCCCGGGGGTGCCCGGGGGTGCCCTATAGCCCTATAGCCCTAAGCGCTATAGCCCTATAGCCCTATAGCCCAATAGCCCTATAGCCCTACAACTCTATAGCCCTATAGCTCTATAGCCCTATAGCTCAATAGCCCTATAGCCCTATAGCCCCCTAGCCCTATAGCCCTGATAGTTTTTCTCCGGTATCATTTGAAACCTTCACGATTGACAATTACGAGGTTGTGTGAGTGTTCTGTATGGGTCAAATGTGGAACAAGTGTGACGCAAATACAAGGCAAGATGGCCGAGTGTCGCACAGTCGTGGATCAGTATCGATCTGTTGTTGGAGCAACTCATCGTCAGGTGTGAACCAATTGAGAAGCAATAGTGTTTCGATTTCACCCCGCATGGTTGTCTATGACTGATCATTGATGCTTGGACTCGGGGCCCCCCAAGTGGTGTTGTGACCACACCGTGTGGTGAGTCAGTCGTAATGCGGGCACGCCGCACGGTTTTGGGACTCGGAGCGCTCTCCGAAGATGTCTTGGGCGACTGGGGCCTCCGAGGTTCCAAGACCGAGAGGTGACGGTCCGCGAGCTGAGGCCTCTTGAGATTTCGAGGTCACCGCGCAGTCCGTTGCCACACGGTATTGGGACCTCCAATCGGCCTATGAGTGTGGGGATGCGTGCGAGCCTACCGCGAGCCCGCGCCCTGCCTGTATATATCGGCTGCAGGCTGGCACACCCCGTCGAACACCGAAGAGCGCACACCGCTTCGGGCCAGGACTCCGTGAGCCCGGCAACGCTGGGCGAGGCCAGTCACAGAACTCCGGCCCCCGAGAGCGCGACTCACTTCTCTATCTCTACTCACTTCTCTATCTCTACCTCTATCTCTACCTACCTCTCTACCTCTCTCTTTCTCTCTCGCTCCCTCGAAGTGCCGCGCGAAAGCTGAGTCTCGCGCTGCTCGCGCGCGACGGCCGGCGGAGCGCCGGCCCGCGGACGGACGTGTGCTCTGCCAGGCCACTCGTTTTCCACCTCACGCGTTGGCTGGCCAGTGGTAGCGCGAGGAGGACTCGGCGTCCATGTCGGCCCTCTCGCCCTTCGAGTGGACCCCGCCGCGGCAGATCGCGAGTTGGACGGGGCACGCCAGCGACCTCGACAGGCCGAGGTAGCTGGAGTTGTGATGCGAGCGCTCCGACTTGTCCAGCACCCCCTTTGTAGGACAGCAAGGAGTCGGCACACAGATCAACTGCCGGGAGCACCGCGCGGACTTCCCGGATCGGCCCTATGGACCCCCGGCGTCGCCAGGGTGGCCCAGCGCCGATCCGAGAACTCCGCACGGCGCTCCGAAAGCTTGCAGTCAAGCCACTGTCATGAGGAACGGCAAATAAGGAACGAATACCCCGTTTGGCATAACATAAACGCCGTGTGCGAGGAGCGCTACATGAACAAACCATGTGCATGCCAGGGTGACGCCGAGTCCAGGGCGCCCCTGGGGCCCCTGGGGCCTCAATGGGCCCTGGGGCCCAAACTTAGTGACGTGATGGCTTTCGAGCCTCGGAGGTGACGCCGAGTCCATCGGGGCTCTTCTGACCCAGGTCAATCCAGACCCGGGTCAGCAGGAAACCAAAAACTGCAATGCAAGAACAAAAAAAAAAAAACGCAGCGCATGGCTTCGCAAACCCGGGTCAGCCAATAGGCGCGGCCGCCTCGCGGCCAAGATCGGCTCGCTAACCCGGGTCAGCCAGAGGGGGTCTTCGCAGGATCCTGCAGGATCCGGTGCCCTGGCTGACCCCCGTCTGCATTGACCCCCGTCTCTTAGGCTCCGAGTCCAGGGCGATCTCAACGCCCCGGCCCCTGGGCAGCGGAGCGCCCTGGTGACACCGCCGGAGGCGGGTCGCCAGGGTGCCGAGACCGCCCTGGACCACTCGGGGGGCCCGGGGGCCGGCTGAGGCCAGCCAGGCCTGCCTTTGGGACTGGGGCGCTGTCTGCGCACTGCCCGCATCCCTGCACGTCGGTCGGAGGAAGTGGGTAAAAACGCGAAGCAGGAAGGCCAGGCCCTCCCAGAGCATAACAGCACACGGCAGAAGCCCATCGCCTCCCGAGGTATAGGAAGGCGCCAGAAGAAGACTGGGACCTGGGAATCCAGGAGCACGTGCTCTCAACGACCGACGTGCACCGCCTCCCGCCTTGTTCAGGTGCGCCATGGCCCGCTCCAGCGCTTCCGGGTCCTTGTCGAGCTCCTGCGCCTTCTGGAACAGCTCCTTCTTCAGCACCAGCAGGCGGGTGCTCTCCGTGCTCAGCCAGGCGTCGAAGTCGGCCGTGAACACCCCGGAGGCGAGCGACTCGCGGCCGACCACGGAGAAGGCGCCGATCTCCGCCCGGAACTGCTCCCGCCCCGCCAGCGCGGTGAGGCGGCCCTGCAGCACGAGTATGCAGCGGTCGCTCTCCCTCCCGCGCTGGAACAGCCAGTCCTCCTGCTTCGGCACCGCGATCTGCATCGAGGTCTTGCGGACGCGGTTCTCCACGCGCGAGCTCATCACGAGCCACTCGCAGGCCCGCATGCTGAGCTCGAATTTGCTGCCAGGGCCGAGGGCCCCGCGGCCCAGATGGCGCTTCACGGCATTGACCTCCTCGTTGGTGAGCGTGTCTAATCGCTTCCTCCAGCGCGGGTCGAAGAAACCGAGGGGGACTTCCGACTTCATTTGACGCCCCTGGATCTTAATACCCTTGTCGACATCCACGTACACGTCATGCTCGTCGATGATCTCATCCTGGAGGATCTCTTCCATGATATCCTCAAGGGTGATCACCCCCATGATTTCATAGGTGGGGTTTACGTCAGATTCTATGATGGGTCTGCGCACGATGCCCAGGTGGGCACCGCCAGTCTTAAACTTCTTGAGGACCTCTGGCAGCTTGTCCCCTGGGAAGAAAGTGTCCGCCTTGCGATTGAATATGTTGATAAAATCACCAAGCAGCATCTCGTCCTCTGGGTCTGCGAACATGAGGTCCTTTGTGTGCAGGACGCCGACGTAGTCGTTCTTGTCCCTCCTGTAGACTGGAACACGGCTGAACCCCCTCTCGAAAACCTCCTTGATCTCTTGAAATCCTAGCCGCGTGTCGGCGGAGAGGAAGTAGGCATCCTCAATCGGCGTCATCACCTCGCTGACCAGCTTGTCCCTGAAACACATGGCACCCTCGGCGATCTTCTGCGCCTCCTCGCCGTCGGTCTCGTTGGTGCCGCCGAGCTTGATCTGCAGCTTCAGCATCTCCAGCAGCTCCGCGCGGCTGTAGACGGTCAGCACCTCCTTGCCCAGCAGGACGTCCAGCATCATGCTCAGGGGCTTGGTGAGCACATACAGCGGAGAATACATCAACGCCTGCGTGATGAGAACGGTGCGGGCGCCGATCTGTAAAGCAAACCTGGAACATGCGGCCTGTGGCAAGATCTCCCCGAAGAGGACAATGAGGCCAGTGGACAACAAGAAGCCCATGAGGCCACCAAGAGCCGGAATGTCGGCCGTCAGGATCGACAGCGCCGAGTTAACCGCAACGTTGCCGAGCAACAGGGTGCAGAGCAGATGGTTGCCCCTGGAGCGGACTGGATGGATCTTCCTGGCGCACTTGGCCATCTCTTGGTTTCCCCCCTTCATCACGATCTCCAGGCCAACGATGTCGAGGCCCATGAGCCCCAGGGTCAGCCCAGAGAAGAGGCCAGAAAGCATGACCAGGAGGATGATGACCGGAATCGCCATGTAGAGTGGCAGCTGAAGACCGCCAGTCTCCTCTTGTGGGCAGCAGTCGCACTCGGTCGCCCGAGTGCTGGTGGCCAAGCCGATGAGCAGCACCAGCGTGCGCAGCCTCCCCGAGGCGCCAGACTCCGGCCCCATCGCGCGCCACACGATGGGCCGCCAAATCGGCGAAGGGGCGGCCCGAAGAAGGCCGAGGCTCGAGACAACGCTGCCGCATTCTGAGGGAGGGCCAAACGGCATCAACACAACCTCCAGAATTCCACGCGGATTTCTTGGGTCGGTGCCGGACACCCCTCCCCCCTTAGGGGCACCTACAGCGCAACCCCATGGCGCGCGCTCCGCGCGGACCTCCAAAAGTCTCTGTTCATGCCGCTCCTTCTGCTTCCTCTCCGACAGTTGGGGGGAGGGGGCGAGGGCGAGGAGATGGAGGACGAGCCTCGGCGGCGAGCGAAGGGGGGAAGTGAGAAGGAGAAGGCCTTCTGAGAAGGCTCGGAAGTCCCCCGGCCTTCTGAGACAAATTCTAAGCCTTCCCCGAAGACAAGCTTGTCGGCAGGCGCGAGGGTTTCTGAGAAGTCCTGCCGCCTTCTGAGAAGGCCTTCTCCTCCTCATTTCCCACCCTCTCTCGCCGCCGAGAGCAGCAGCAGGATCACGGACCTGAGGCCTCTCCCGCCCAGCACGGGACCAGCGAGACACACGAGGAGTCCTACCAAATCGTGGCGCACTTCGCAGTGATGGCTGGTAGGCCCACCAGGCAAGCTGATACTAGACATTCATACGTAGCCTCCTCCGAAATGCAGCACTTATCTCGGCGGTGGGCAAACCTCCCTGTAGTAAACCTCCCCTTGGTGAGAACGGCTTGGGACCGAAATGACGGACCTGGACCCGCAACAATGACGGCCGCGACGCCCTCTCGCGAACCGAGAACGGCCAATTCCTTAATCGACGTGTCAGCGTAGGAGGTCGATCCACCCCCGATTATCGTAGACAAGAGAGACCGACCACGCGAGTTGACACAGTCAAGGTGGGGAACGAAGATGACCACACCTGCAACGCGGACACATCCGCGCACGGCGTGCACATGCGTGCAGGGACAAGACTCGACCGACGCCTGGCCATCGCTCGGACGTCCATTCCCTGTGCTTTCTTCGGTTTCGCGCGTGGCTTATCCGCAGGATGATCCAGGATGCTCCTTGATAACCCCCGCCTAGAAAACGTGCACACGTCCGAGCGATACCAAGAAGAGGAGAAAGCGGGAGCGCGCGCGCGTCTGACCCCTCAGGGGCCCCAGGTCTGGCCAGGACCAGCGAGCTCCTCCCGAAGACGCCGACGACGTCTGACGTTGTCGGCGTTTTCGGGAGGAGCTCGTGTTCGGGAGGCGTCTTCGGCGCCTTCGGGAATTGCAAACAGCGTGGAACGTGTTTCGCAATCCTCTCAGCAACTGGTGTTTGAAGTCGTTCCCAAATCCCAGAAACGCCGACACCGGCAGTCCCGAAAAATCTCCCGAGGCTCGGCCGAGTCTCCCGCCCCGCGGAGCGGAGCGGCACGCCATCCGCTCGCAGGGCACGGCGTGTCGCCGGCGCCGCCGCCGCGACACGCTGAGCACGGGTTCCCGACGGCAGGCCCCAAGGAACACGAAGGGAGGGGCATACGTCCCCACCCAGGTGAGCGACGATCAAAGACGGGTCTTGCGCAAGATGGCACAGCGACCTTGCGCGGCGTGTTGCGCGGGCCGCCGGGGCGGCACGCTAGATGGGTGGCGAGGGCGTTTACGCGCGATCTTGCGCGGGGAGCTTACGCGCCGGTGTCGGCGCAGACGACCCCGTGTTCTTGCGCCGCTCAGGTGGGCAAGTTGGCCAGCGTGACCAGACTTATCCTCGCCCTAGCCGCGTCCGGACCATGCCTCTCTGAAGGCAGGCTCGTGGATCACTGCAGGTACACAGGCTGCGCTCGGCTCCGTAGATCTGCTGGCTATTCTGGGTATGTTCCTCATGGGCTCGACGAGAAAATCAGTTTTGGGGCGAGTCGATTATGTAACTCGTCGATCCCCTACTCGAATGCTGCCCCGGCGTCCGAGGCGAAGATCCAGCAGTGGCTACGAGAGGCCCCCGTCCTCCACCCAAGACGAGTACGCACTCTGCCCAGGAGCCCTGAGGTGGGCGAGGGTTCTGGTCGTAGGCCTGGTGCACCGAGTTCCCTCCCGGGGGGCCTGGTCTCTGTGCACAGAGCGAGGCCCACGGCGGTGGAGCCTGACCGAGGCGGGGGGGCCGCGGGACTCCCGGAGGCCTCCAGGAGGCAACACACGCGAGGGAGGGCCGCCGGGGTCTCGACCAGTCCTTCTCCGACCACCGAGCTCAAGGGGCGTCCAAGAGGGTGGCGCCCAAGCGAGGGGGGGTCGCAAGTCACGGCCAGAGGCACGTGCGCGGCCCCAGGGGGCGCCAAAGGACGGCACCAAGATGAGAGCAGGGCCCAGAAAGCGCCAAACAAATATCATGGCCCCAGCCATGACATCCACCCACCTTGCTCATTACCCCCCCCCCCTTGGACAAGCCCGAGATCCGTGATGACGCAAGGATCAAGGCGCTTTCTCAACGAGGCTACGCCCTGGGTGGAGGACTCCAGGGGAGCCCAAAAGCAGCACTGTTGCAAACATCTGTGCGTTCCCTCTCTTCCGCCTAGTGATCGCCCACCTCTTGGACAGCCCTGGAAAAGATACCTTCTGCCCCGCCGGTGCAAGGCTGGAGCTGGGGCGGCCTCCTGTGGGCGCCGGGCGTGGCGATGATCTCCTCCCCCCACGCTGGGCTGACCCTCTCGACCCCTGCCCCCCGTGCAGCGCCCGACTCGGAGCGAGAGGACGAGGCGACCCCCGATGCTAGATCCCCAGGGGGTCGTCGCCAGCCCTGGCCCCCCGATGATAGCGCCCAAGGTGTCCCACATGTAGTTGCCTGGTGCCAGTGGACCCGGCAACCACATGGGAACCCCACCCCTGCAGGTCAGGTTTCGTAACGTTCGCGATTGACAGGGTTAGGGGTCGCAAGTGATCGCAGAGGGAGGACACAGGTGGGCAGAGGCAACTTCTGCGAGGTCTTCGCAATAACGATTAAGACCTGTGATGCCGGATCAGTAAGCCAGACTAGTATACCTAATTGGACCCGTTTTCGACCTTGAAAACACCTGGAGAAACAAAACATGGCATGCATGTCGACGTTCGGAGGTCCCCGCGGATTTCTATGATAGGTGCTGCGCCCCCTCCCTGACGAGCAGAGCGCGCCAATGGCGGCGCCAGAGGCGCCGCTAGGGGGAGGGCATTAGTTCCTCCTGGAATCGGTGGTCCAAAGATGGGGTCCTGCGAGATGGGGGCCAAAGGACAAGGTGCCCCAAGCAGTGCAAATCCACGCTCGAGTCCCTCCCTATCTGAAGGCGCCCAGGGACACAAATCCGCCGATCCGGCGTGTGAGTTTCTGAGAGCGTGGACTTGAGCTCGCTCAAGCTTCGCTCTGGAGGGGGGGGGGGGACACGTTATTTCCGACGTCAGTTACGACGCTTTTCGGTACACGGGGATATTTCCGACGTCATGTTCGATGTTTTTCGGTATCTGGGGACAGGGGGGGTATAGAAAACTCCACTTCCGGTGCCCCCCCGGATCGGCGGCACTGGCCTGAGGCCAGCCCACTAAATACACACAAATCCCAAGATTCCCCATACGTTTCCACATCTTCCGGAGCTTCGTCTTCCCACCTCCCATATTCTCCCATACTTTCCGAGGAATCGACGATTACTTGTGTGTGTGTTCTTGTTCCCTCCTGACCATCCTTCGGACACCATCCTTCAGGACCCAATCTTTGAACCACCGATCGAATACAAGCGCCGATGCTGAACTCAACCCAGCTTTTGAGCAGGGACCGACCGTCCCGGCATTCCTATAGGCCTACCACGAAATGTTCTCAGAACCCAAAAAAGTGCTAAGAACCAAAACGATGTTCTTGGAACATACGCCCGATGGCATAAAACAAGACAACACCGGCCAGAGAAATTCTGAGAACCTTTCGTGAAAACCACAAAAGGTTATCAGAACATTCTTTGGTGGGCCGATTTGGCGGCGCGCACAAGGGGGTGGAGGGAGAGGGGAAGGCTTCTGAGAAGGAGGCTGCTTCTGAGAAGGCGCCGGCCTTGCATCTATAGATGAGGCCCGCGCCTTCTAAGAAGCAGGGGTGCTTCTAAGACGCCCTCCCCCCTCCCCCCACCCCCCTCTGCGCGTGGCCGACCTACTCGCCATCGCTTGGACGTCCATCTTGAGTGTATGTATCGCTTCCGCGCGTGTTTTTCTCGCTCGATGGTCCATGGTCCAGGATGCTCCTGGGTGGTTCTCGCCGAGGAAACAAATTGCACACGTCCGAGCGATGCCGGGCAGCCTATATATATATATATATATATATATATATACATATATATATATATACCTATATATATGTATATATATATATATATATATATATATGCGAGCCAGGACGCTCCGCCACTGCTCGACAGCTCCGCGCCTCGGCCCCTGGCAGGGAGGCGGCGCCCGCCGGCCGCAAGGGCCGCGGGCTCCTCACAGGGCCCGCCAGGCCCAGCGCAGGAGCGCCGGGCCCTCGCAGAGCAGGGCAGGCGCCCGTGTCGCCGTTCCCTGCAGCCGGCCCGCAGAGGAAGGGTGCGCGGTGATAACAGGGGATGCGTCGACCCCTATCCCAGGCTCCGTGAGGTTTTCGAGAGGATCAACAATTTGGGGCCCAACCCTGGGATATACGAGGGGGGGGCGTCCATCCTCGACAGGGGTGCGTCGAATAGCCCCCTCGGGATGTATCCCAAGATTCCTCCTCTTTTCTGAGCGACCAAACTTTTCTGGCGGAAGTCGGGGATTGGGGGAGAGAAATCGCCTGCGAGGTGAGGGTGCAGGGGCCCTGCGGAGCCATGTGGGCGTGGTTCGGAGGGGGTGCGGCCGGCAGAGGCTGCCAGGCATGGGCCGAAGGGGCAGGGCTGCGGGGGGTAGAGTCGGAGAGCCGGTCGCCCTTCCTGTGCGGGCGGACGGCATCCTGCGGTCGGGAAGTGTTTTGCTCAGCGTGTGTCGCGGCGGGGGCCCTGGCGAGACGCGCTATGCCCTGCGAGGCGACGGCGCGTCGCTCCGCTCCGCGGGGCGAGGCGCGGAGAGGCTCGGGACGTCGACGTCGCGGGGGAGCGCGAAACGGGCAGCGCGTCGCGCCGCAGCGCGGCGGGCCAGAACCGGCGGAGCGACACACGTTCCAAATGTTCCCGACCGCAGGCAAGCCTGAGCTGGATCGGGTCGCGGCAAGCAGATTGGCAGGAGTAGGGGGCAAGAAGGGGGAAAAAAGGGAATCGGGAGGGGAACGGGGGAGTAAGCCGAGTGCGCTTGCGCTGTGTCTGACATCTACTCCCCGGCCAGCCCTCCCCATTGCGCTAAATTCGCTTCGACCTGCCAATTGGAATGTCCTAGAGCACCTTGACCCGCGAAACGGCCGTGTGGTCCGACGTCAGAAAGGGGGGGCCTTGTGCATAGGAGGTGGCGGATGAGCAGGAGCAGGAGCAGGAGGAAGGGGGGGGGCGATGGGGAAAGAGGAGCAGCAGGAACAGGATGAGTAGGAACAGCAACGGGGCCCATGAGGGCCAGAGGAAGCGGAGGAGAGGAAGGGAGGGGGACGGCAACGACGGATCTGTAAGTGTGGCCCGTGCTGGGCCGATCGCGCCATTCTGAACGACGGGAGCAAAGGGCCGACCCTCCAATGTGGCCAATGGTACAGATGGAGCACTATTTGTGTCTCCTCTTCCTCCTCTTCCTCCTCCTCCCCCGATTCTTCCTCCATCCTCCCCCTCTTGAGGTAAGACGGCTCCCCCAGCCCGAGGCTCATTCACATCAAGGCAACTCGGCAAGACATCATTTCCGGATGGGCGAGTGAGGTTGCGCAAAGCGTCTAGACGTGTGAAGGACCGAAACCAGGAATTGTGATGAGGCGGAACGTGCTGTGCTGGTTTCTGTCGTGCGCTGCTGCTCCTCCATCTGCTGCTCCTATGGCTGCAGATCCCCCCTAGTCAGCTCCCCCTGTCGCAGCTCGACGCGCACCGAGACCGACAGAGAGAGAGAGAGAGAGCGAGAGAGACACTCACACACAAAACAACAACATCAGCAGCATCATCAACAACAATAGCAACAACAACAACCACAACAACAACCACACCACCAACAACAACAACAACAACAACAACAACAACAACAACAACAACAACAACAACAATTACTAGCACGTGGGGACACTCCGTTCTCACCAGTGCCAGGGTTTTCATAGGAGGCGGGCAATACCCCCACTTTGTGGGGGGGCCGGTTCAAGCTCTACCACATTTCCAAACGACTCTTCGCCACCACCCACACCCAGCTTCCCGCCCTATGACGTTCGGACACTTCACTTCGTGGCCTGCGGACGACCGTGGCTACTACACTGGCGCATGGGTACAGTGACTTGTTGTGGTAACATTTTCTGGACGCTAGCTTAGTATACGACTTTTCCCCCTGTTCCAACACTGGACACCTGTACTGGTTTTTGGTGGCAACGTGTTCCTGACGCTAGAATAGGAAACCACGGTAAACCAGTACGACGCCGGTACTGTCTGTAGGTCCTACAATGATATGGACTGCTTTGGCTGGTGAGGCGCTAGCGTCTGATACGACGTTTTTCCGTTTCTGTACCACACAAGCGAAGACACTTATTTTGAGTGGTACCACGTGGGTGGCGCCAGCATACCACAGGACTTGTTTCCGTTGTTGTGAGACGATACATGCTCATTCTTGTTCTGTGGTTGTCGTTCCGGCCTCAATGTGCAATACTGGCTCATTCGTCTACGAAATACACGTGAGTAGCTCTCTCTGGTTGGAGGTCCTGATGGTTGTGGTTGTCCCGATGGTTGTCGCGATGATTGTCCCGATGGTTGTCCCGATGGTTGTTCCGATGGTTGTCCCGATGGTTGTCCCGATGGTTGTCCCGATCGTTGTCCCGATGGTTGTCCCGCATGGTATTATTTGACAGGGATGATGGCCCTGGCAGGTGCGCAACCGTTGTTGGAGAAGTTCGAAGCACGTGAAAAAGTTGCTCGCAAAAGCCCGTTTGACAGAAATGTTTAAAAAGTGTTGGGTTTCCTACAAATCCGCAAGAGCGCGCGGGATGAAATTTTGACACTTTTTTTTTGAAAAACCATTGTTTTTTTGATGTTTTTATGTTAAAATCGTTACGAACACTAAGGTTTTGGAAGGATTTCGTCTTGCGCGCGCGAATGTCCACTTTACCTTATTTTTTGCAAGGGATTCTTGAAGTTTGGTTATGTTAGAACAAGAAATGTCCACTTTAGCTTATTTTTTGCAAGGGAAAACGGGGGACAACAAAACAACCGGATCCGGACACCCACGTTTTGCCTGAGACTTCCTCACGAAAATGATGAAAATGTGGCTGCGGCCTAGGCGCGGCGAGGGGGCCGCGCACCAGGGGCCCCAACAATAATTATTCTTTAGAATAAATAATGTTCAACAACAGCAGCAGCAGCAGCAGCAACAACACAACACCACAAACAAAAACAACCACCACAACAACACCATCAACAATAGCAACGCCAATCACAAGAACAACACCACCAGCAGCAGAAACAACACCAACAGCAACAACAACAACACAATCAATAATACCAACAACACCAGCAGCAGCAGCAGCAACAACAACAACAACAACAGCAACAGCAACGACAACAGCAACAACAACAACAACAGCAAAAACAGCAGCAGCAACAACAACAACAAAAAGAGCGGAGGTCCTCGGCCGCTCGGTGCCGCCACCACGGCGCAGCTCCAGCTGCGGACGCCGAACACAACAAAACAAGGACCACCAAACAATGCAATCCTGTGCGGAAGTATCACGCGGGAGAGGCGGCAACAACCCTGCACAGCACAAAGGTGGGGGAAGGGAGAGTGGGATCCGTATCGGGCGATTGTGGATGGAGAGAAGAGAACGATTAGGATCCAAACCCTCCCCAGTCGTGCTCGGCCCGCCCGTCCTCTGCGCCCTGCGTTCCTCGGCGGCCGCCCCGATGACATAGGTTGCCCACTCTGCCGCCCGCTCGATTACCACCGCCAAAGCGGCACCAGGGTGGCTACGTCTGCGCGGATTCTCGAGGCGCCCTTCCTCTGCGTCAGAAGACCCAGAGAACGGGCCTTCGACGCCGTGCCCGCCTTGCATTGCAAAGCTCCGACTGCAAAAGCCAAACCTTGGCACGGGAATGGGGTCCGCGCTGGGAGCTGCGGAAGCAGGACGGGCAACACATGCTTTTGAGACTTGAGCCAGGACGGTACGGACGCAACGCTCGAGGCCCTGCCTCCCAGGTTCCCAGGGGACAGATATCCAAATGCTAAACCTACACCCTGCGAAATGCCTAAGAAATCATGGGTTAAGAAATTCATAGTCTCAGAAATTGAATAAAACCTAGAACTTCTATCAAAAATCTTGGGATGCACATTGGAAAGTTAAGAATAATCGAGATCCTGGACGAAAGCTTAGGCTTTCTTAAGCATCGCCTAAGGTGTAGGTGCAAGCTGAGGTGGCTGCACCTTCCCTGCCGGCCTGCCCGGGTGCCCGCGGCCCCGCAGGTGCGCTGCACGGGCTTCGGCCCCAGCGGTCGCCGCTGCCAGCGCCGCCGCCCCAAGCCCGTCCGCACGGGTCGTGGCCGTGCTGCCAAGGATCGCCTGGCGCGCTGCTGCTGCTGCTGCTGGTGCTGCTCAGCCGGAGCAGTCGCTCGTGTCTCTTCGACCACCTCGTCAACCATAATTAGCCCGCACGAGCTCCCGCGTGTGCTCACTGAGTGCCTGCAGTCTGGCCCTCGGCTGCTGCAGCTGCTGCCGAAGGTCCTGGCGCCGTCGAAAGGCCGGAGGCGCCGCCGATGACCGCGAAAGTGTCTGTCTTTCTCCGATGGCACTGCCGTGGATCCCACGCACGCTGGCGCCAAGCAGCGTTCGCCGCAGGGTTCTTGAACGCCCGAGCCTGCTCACGCCTACATGGACGCGCCGGCTGGTACGTGTGGCCCTGGGCCCGCCCCGTCCGCTGTCAACCGTGGAAGCAGGATGGACAAAGCATTTGCTTGTGGGACGTGAGCGAACAGTGGTACGCACACGACTCTCGAGGCCCTGCGCCGCAGGGCCCCAAGGAAAATAGATCCGCACGCTCAACCTGGATGCGATTCCAGTCGCCATGGTCACGGGGCACCGAGTGGACCCCCGCTGTGCCAGAGACGGCGGGCGGGGCGAGCCTGGGAAGCAGGCCCCTCGGGGCGCCAGGGCAGGGCAGCCGCACCAGCACAGAGCGAGCGGGTCGCCCCGGACCCCACACGCTGCACCCCCACCCACCACTGGGAGCTCGCGAGGCCACGTGGCCCTCATCATCCGGGGCCATCTCGAGAATCGGGGCTTCCAAAATCCTCTGGACCCTAGACTCCCTCTGAGCCCGCTCGGAGCACGACGCCACATCAGGATGCCCAAGATTATGGACGCTTGGAACATACGCAACTTGAACGCAATAAAAACGCAGCCGATCCCTCAGATGGCTTGGCACTGGTCCAGGAGTCTGCCACCTGGTCGCCTTGACACCAGTGCGGCTCGCAGCCGCGCCTCTCCGCCGCGTTCTTCGACGCGTGCGCAGGGCATGCAGCGGGCCTCGACTGCGCGCTTTCCCACGTCGTCGACTCGGCTCCAGATGCTGCATCTCGGCAGCTCAGCATGGCACATGTTTGCCCTCGCTGTCTCCTCCTAACTCCACTCGTCCGCCACCGCCCTGCAATCTGCGATGACACAAACTTGATGCCCCAGGACATTGGGCCGCAAAACAGGCGCGCGGTTCGCTGGACGGAACGCCCTGCGCCTGGAGGGGCGAGGGCCAGTAGGCCGCCGCTTTAACTTCGAGGTTCGGCCTGGTCGACACCGACGCCCCTCCTGCCCTGAGGAGCCACATAAGCTCTACATCAGATGCCTGGCGGTCGATGCAAACCGCATCTCATAGCGTGCCTTCGCGGGGCTTGACGGCCCACTTAAAACCAGCAATTTCGCGAACCCTTGAAAACGCAGTCCTCGTAGCGTCAACCAAAGCCCTCGTCCACCCGAGGTCGGGCTCGGCCGCTCTGGCCTCTGCTCAAGGAGCCTGTCATGATCATGATCTCGCCTACGTAAGCAGCTCGGAGCCGCCGCAGTACAACACCCAGCGAAAGGGATCGATTTCCCTTCAGAGGCCAAAACTGGCACCTCGAATTCGCCGCAAAACATGTCATGCTAACGTCAGTCCGCGCCTGGAACCCCCTGGATATCTGCGCCGCCAATGGACCCGCCCACCCCGCGTGATTTCTCAGAGGTCTCCATCCGCGAGAGCCCCCACGTAAAGGCTCCATAGAACGCTCCAAAGACACGTTGTAGAAAGCTCCCCGGTGAATGCTCCAACGTGAAGGCTCCACATGCAACCCCCCCGTCGCTTCGTCAGGTGGGCGCTGCACTCTCCGAAGCCCGACCCCTGGGCGCACACGGTCGCCCCATCCGCGAGCCAGTCAAGCCTCCTCCTCGACCCTCCGCCCCTCGTCCCCGTCCTCCCCCCACCACCTCCTCCCCCCTCCTCCTCCTCCTCCTCCTCCTCCTCCTCCTCCTCCTCCTCCTCCTCCCCCTCCTCCTCCTCCTCCTCCTCCTCCTCCTCCTCCTCCTCTTCGTCTTCCTCCTACTTCTCCTGCTCCCGCTCCTCGAGGAGGCCGAGGTTGGGCAGGCTGCTGTCGACCACCCGGCAGTGCTCCCACTCCCTCTGGGCGCCCTCGAGCCTCAGGAACGCCTGCTTTGAGAGACGTGGCAGGATCACACAGCATCGATGGTACGTCTTCGGGCTGCGCCCGGACAGCCCTCGCAGCCAGTCCTGGATGGCCTCAACAGACCCCTCGAATACTCCGGAGCGGTCTGGACATCATGGCGCATGGGATGTTGAGATCGCCCCAGACTGCTCGGGGCGAACGTCGAATCGGAAAAAAAAATATAGTTAATCGGAATGCGCGTTGGACTCGGCCGCATCGGGACTGAGTCGAAATCGAATCGGACCTACTGCGCAAGGATGCATAAAGCCGACATGAAAGCATCGATCCGCATCGGATCGCCTAAATACCAGAATCGAATCAGGTCGAACTGGCCGGAATCCGCATCGGATCCAATCGATCTGATCCAAATTGACCCGGCCCCCGTGCGGACGGCAGCAAGGGCAATGACCGCGGGTTGCGGCATCCCTTTTTCGCACTCCGCTCACCACTGCGCCTCGTCCGCCCAGCTCCTCATCATCCGCTTCCTCCCTTACCCTCCGCATCGTACACATCCGCCTCCTCACTGACATGTTAGTATGGTATATGATGTCTTTTCTTGAGATCTGAAATGGCAACGGAAACGCGCACAGTTCTGCCACGATACACAAGGTGAATATACTTCCCCACGCTCCTCCTACACCTCGGGCGAGCAGTTCTTCACACACGGTGTCTGCCTACTCTGCGTGGCCTTCCTAACCTAGGTAGTGGAACGGGGATCTACGGATGCTGCGGTACGCTTTCTTAAGCGCAGCGCCGCTGATGTCAAAGAACATTGGTTTACTCTGGTTTCTGGCTGCTTGCGAAGAGCCAGGCTCAAGCCATTCCTGCTCTTACAACAAATTCAAGTCAAGACTTTGGTTTGCAAGCTGTGAGGCTAGTTCGTGTCTTCCCCCACGCGTGGTGTAGCCGAGTCTATTTACAGATCGATCGAGCTTCGGTATGTGTGAATATTTTGTCATGAGATCGCCTGGGTTGTCGTCAGTGCCGACTTTGCGGATGACGAAGTCGTTGTTTGCGAGTCCCTCTTGTCCCCACAAATACTGGGTGTGAAGGCGTTTCACTTTACCCAGTCTTCGCCTGGATGCGATTCCTTTTGCTGCTGAGCTGTCAATACCCCAACGCCCTCTCAAAACAATACCAAAATCAGATGTTACTGGCAAGCCCCCTACCTACACACTTGCGCCTTTTCACTATTCCGTAAAATGAGGCTCTCCCGGAACTGACTGCAATCACGCTTTGTGTCCTGCTCCAAGATCTGAACGTGTGCAAACCGAACATCAACGCTCCTCCATTCGTGCTCTTCCGTGTTCGCAAGCATCCTGTGTGGTCGGTGTCAACAACAACATCTAGAAAAGAACGCTGTTCTTGAAACGGGTACTGCAAAATGACTTTGGGACGACCTTTCCAAATAACGCGCGAGTCGTTTCATTTGGTTCCAATGGCCTATTGTCGGTTGCTGCATTCCTCTCGTAAGCTGTTTCGCTGCGTACTGAATGTCGCTTGTGTCCTGTGCAACGTAATTGGTTTTCATGCACAGAGATCGGAATGCTTTAACCATTTCCGGCGTAAGTGGTTTGAGATCCGAATCGGAATTTAACAACTCTTTGACAGCTGGAGCGGGGGCATGCTTTCGAAAGCACTTCCTGGATGCCACTGTCTCCGATTACGAACTCAAGATGTCTCTGGTCACGCTCGCATTCAACGTCGTCTCCCGTCCGAGACACAATCCGGTTGAGAATTCGGAGGCCCTCGTCGTCGCTGTCTTCTGGTCCAAGCGTTGTTTTGACGTTTACAGCCGTCGATGCTTTTAATATCTCTGTGACCCATTCATGGCCGTCGTCGTCTGAAGAAGCTGCGAAATCATCGCCACGCACAACTCATCTCGCGCCCCCTGTCGGTTCGTAGTAATGCACGGGCTAGAACGATTTTGAATAAAACCGGCTTGGGGCAACACTCCACTGCAAAACTTGTCCCAACCTTGAGCTGCGCCTCTGGCCCCGCACATGCAACGGGCCAATTTACCTACCATCCCGGACTCGGCATCTTGCCCTGGGAGTTCAATGCGCACGTCCCGGATGGCATCTGCGTGGAAATACGCACGAACAGCATCAATAAAACATACCTAGACAAGTTTACCTGATTTGTGGACCCTTCGGGCGGCCACTTGACTGAACAAAAACTGTTTCGCCTCAAGCGGAAGGGGTGGCTGCAAAACAATCCGTGCGTTTGTCTCGAATAACCTCTCTAGCTACCAAACGTGCTCTGATGTCTGAACTTGTCCCGTCTAATGTCTTCACTATTACCCATCGTGTTGGGATTGGGGGTTTCCCGGTGACCTCGAATGCTTCTGATCTTGGAACCTCGACGCGAACTTTGCGTTTGTTGTATTCGTCATATTTTTCGCCATTGCTTCTCTGGCGAATTGCCCCGGCAATTTCGCGCCTGCGCTGTCATCGAAAATGTCTCCTTCAGAACACCGCTCGTCGAAATCAGAACTGGGCTCTTCACAACAAACAGGCGCCAATTGAGAACGGGTAGGCTTCGCCGTCGGCGTTCAATTCTTCGCGGAACCCTCTAAAAATAGCGGCGCGCACCCTCTGATACAAAAGACGACGAAATGCCCCGTCCCACATCTAGCTCCAACCGCCTGGAAAGCACCGAAGAAAATAACCTGGATTTCGAAAGTCCAGCCCTCGATGCGGATGTAATGCAAGGGCCGTTTGGAACAAAAGCGAACAACTGATTGTTTGACACTTGGAAGGAAATCGCAGTCTGAAGCAAAGACTGCATTGCCGGATGCCTTCGCACAGCGGCTGACTCCGTTTGCACATCGAGTAAATGTCTCCCGTTGCTGCTCTGCTCTTTGAGCAAATCGGCACACGATGAGACGTGTTTAGCGTGCCGAACCTTGTCTCGGAAGTTGTTGGTCGACGAAATGACAAATAACATGGGCTCGTGTTGTCGCATACTCACGCGTGCTGCAGTCAAGTCAGCTGCGCTGCTGAGGTCGACTGCTTTGTTGCATTAACTATGCACGCTAAAATCGAAAACGAAACCTGGAGTCGAACCAGAACTGCCAACAAGTGCAGAAACACGCGGAACCTGGAAAATCCTTTGGGGGTTCGCTGTGGAAGCTAATCCAAAATTACGGTAACATTGCGCAAGACTACACACATCTGTTTGGGATGCTTTTGAAAATGCGCCGATTGCCAAATTTCCTGGTTCGGGCATCGGCACGTCATTGGGCCCTTGGTTCGCTGGTTGCTGCGCAAAGCCGGACGAAGATAACGCGCCTGTTTCCATTGCGTCTTCAAGCACATCGTTTTTTCGCTTTTCTGTTGTATGTGTTCTGCTCGCTTTGGCAACGACGTGGGCACCTTCTCCCAGAGGTCGCTTGTCTATTGAATTCGGTCTACTTGCGATGGTTTCGACCTGGGCTTCTTCCCCCAGAGGTCGTTTACCTCTCTGTTCTGCATCTGGCTGAACCGTATGTTGCCTTCCGGCGTTGCTGTCATCTTGCTTCCACTGCCGCATGGTTGATTTAAGAATGCGTTTTCTTCCCTCTGCTGTTTTCTCGAACTCTTTGGTGATCCTTTCACGATAAGCCCCATCAAAGGGAATTTGGGGCAAACCCAACCTTTGGGCATTGCAGCAGGGACACGTCGCAGCGCACCCGTGTTTGGCAATGTCTTTCTGTAGGATGTACACCCTACGGTGCACTGCAAGCGGCCCCTCTTGCGAGTGGGCCGGCGGAGGCAAATCATGCTCCTGAACCGGCTTGATGACAACAGCTCTCGGCATGACATTTTGGTTTACTTCCCCTTCTGGCACTGGCTTCCGCGGAAGACCTCGGAAATATTTCAAATTATCAGCGGTCCACTGTTCAGAGGAAGGTTTTCTCATGTTTGACCTCGCTGTCACGACGTCTTCTGCGGTTCAAATGTAAGCCTCGCTGCTGGATTTGTTGGTGCCGAGAACGATGCCGTCTTCCCATCGGGACGCAAGCTTTGCCAGTTTGTTAGTTTTCAACTTTGCGGGCTTGTAGTGGACGCACTCGCCAAACGGAATCAACTCTCTCCTGAAAGGTTGTCCCTTCAATGCTTGAAACGCTGCGCGGCCATCGTGTCCTACGGGAAAACGAATGATTGAGAAACCCGCGTGATTGATTCGCCACGGTAATATTAGATGCCTATTGTCTAAATCAGCTTTGTACGTTTCTTCCAACTGACTCTTCAAAACGCAAATTTGGCCTTCGCACGCCTGCGCTGCATGTTCTACTACACCATTGGACTGATGCTCTCCTGCTGGACTTTCTTTTGGAATCACCACGTCGAGGTTTGCTGCTGCCTTGACCTCGCGGCGAAGAGCCAGAATTGAAGCTTCCTGGCTCGGCGAAAACGACAAGGATGCCGAGCTTCTGGCGGCCTCCGCCGAGCGACGGATCTGCCGACGCTGGCGCCGTAGAAGCCCTCGCCTCCTGGCGGCGCAACGATGCTTCTCCAGGGTTATCCACCGCGGCCGACACTTCAGACAGCGCGCAATCGATGGAATCACACATCCAAGACACGCATGCGTGTCTGCCCGAGGGCCGCACCCGATCGGCGCTGCCCGGCTCGGCGCCGCGGGGGCGCTGGAAGCTCACTGGCGGGTGCCGCCCTTCCCCTTCGACCCCCCCCTTGGTCGACTTGGTGGGCTGCGGCGCCTTGTTGCACGAGTGAGGGCGTGCCGACCCATGGCCGGTGCCCAGGCAGTGCCCGCATTGATGGACCTCGCCCGAGCCTTCGGGGCACATGTTCTTCCGGCGCGTCTGCCCGCACTGGCCCGTCTGGACAGCCTGGCAAAGATTGACGCCGCGCTGCGATGGGCCACAAACTTGCCGCCCTGCACCCGGTGGACCTTGAGCAAGGACCGACCGTCCCGGCATTCCTGTAGTCCTACCACGAAATGCTCTTAGAACCCAGACATGTTCTAAGAACAAAAGCAA